ACACATTCTAAGAATGTTTGTACTTCATATAAACTGCACAGCATTGCAGAATGTTCTCTATCCATGCTTCTTCCTTCGACATGAATCATCTTGATCAGAGTTTGTCATATTAAGCATTTCATCGTCGAAAAACAGGCCTAATCAAGCCATTTTCAATACTTACATTGTTGACTTCATTGAAAAACTCCTCTTCAACTCCTTCATCCGCTTCTAACATCTCTAAAATTGCCTCTAAATCATCCCCCGTTAAAAAGTCACAGTTGTCCGCCATATTTGTTTGGAAGTGTGTGCAGGGTTGGCCGTCCCTTTGAAGTTCGCCAGCCTTCATAACCATTTCCCTTGATGAACTATGCTAGTATGTACTAGCCCACAAGTCATTTCAAGCAGCCCCTAAACCCTTTTTGATTAGCAGGATTTATTACAATCCTTCTGTCATTTGGATTTTTCCAAAAAGCAGCACTTGCCCGTGGGCAAGTTAAGAGCAAAAATCACTAGTCTGATAGCAAAATCCACTAGCCCCGGGCCATTGGACTCGACTTTCTTCGCACACTGGACTCGTAGGGGTTAATCTTCCACAAACGAAACTCATTGAAGAATGAAAGGTAACAATTTTAATTATTCTTTAACGTTATGACCCATAAGGCCTGAAAAAAAAAAACCCTTGGACAATGCCTGAGACAACTGACAAAAGAAGGGAATAAAAAAATAAAAAGTAGCAACAGAGTACAAAGCCATCTCATACTTAAGAGGTAATATTTGGAACTAAATCAATTGTGTTATTTGGTCCAAAACTTGGCCTGTGGAGGAATTTTTTTGGTAGGGTAAAAATCCTGCCCTTTTCCAAAAATGAGTTTTCATCAGGGTCACCCAAAACTAGTGATGCATCTACCTGTTCATCTTCCTTGGTGGCTGTAACCAGTACACATACATGATCAGTGGGTAGATCATGGCCATGCAGAACCTTTTGATTCTCTCTAAGATATCCACAAGCAAAGAGCACACCACTTATCTTGTAGACAATCATTTCTAAAATTAAAAAGAGAAGCAATTTATGCATCCATGACAGATAGTACAGAAAAGGGAAAATGAGACTATAGCATTCTGAGGTTTAGAATTCAAAAGAATAGTTTACTGAAAGTGAGGTTAGCTTGAAGCTGATATAAATAAGAATAAAAGAATTTCAACTTTTCTTAACAAATGTAAAGAAAAATGACAAATTAAACCAACCATTTTCATTTGCAGGAGAAGGCGGTAAATAATCCTGGGCACTTGTACTGCGTTTGTGCATTGGATATGAGATGATAGATAGCCAACGAGGCGCGTAGTGCCGAGTTGGCTATAATCATCTCATATCCAACAAGCGCGAGTGGAATAATTGTTTGATTAAAAATGCCCTCAAGAAATTATTATTTTGTGAGAAGAAACCGGATTTTTTAGCTCCCTTTTGATTTTAAGCTGACGCATACACTTACAATTTTTGTTGATTATGGTATATTGGCTCATATACCATAATGGCTAAGCCAATAAAAAGTCTTGAATTGCATTATCCAATGATCCAGTTTTTAATAATTATGTTTATATCTGAAGAAGACACGGCTAAACTTTACATCCAATTTTCTCTACCAAAATAACCCCAGACAGAAATATCAGTGCAAGAATTAATAGATCTACATCAAAGGTTTTTGAAACTGTTCAATAAACCTGCAGTTCTTAAAATACTCTTGTTCGTTCATTAAACATTAATTACTTAAAACACATCACTATTAATTTTTACTACAGTTTTATAATGCAAGTATGGAAATTATTAACGAGGGCAAGGAGGGTGGGTGAGTGCCTCTGCATTAAACTTAATACATGACCTTATGATCTCCAGTTTTTTGACATAGCAGCCACAAATTTTACATTATAAATTTACCTTGCATAAAGTTTTTAAACAGCATTAAAGCCATTTCGACCTCTTCTGATCTTTTTACATCCATCTTATTCCAGATGAATGAAACCCCTGCCCCTTCTGTTCCATAGCAATTAAGTCACCGTTTCTCCTAGGCCATGCTTGTGATGCATTAGAATAACTACATCAGAAGCATGTGCACGCTTTAAAATATCATTAAATTAACATTAAACGGACTATCTCGGGCCCTGATTATCTCCCCTATTGGCTTTTCCGTGACTTTGGGTACTACCTGGCTCCAATCATAACTGATGTATTTAATGCCTCTCTTCTGCAACATACAGTTCCATTGTTGTGGAAGGAGGTGAATATTAGACCGGCTCCTAAGGAACTGCCATTTATTTCCTGTAACCATCTAAGGCCCATTTCTTTAACAAATATAATTATGCATCTGTTTGAGAGACTAGTGTACAGGAATGAATTATCTATGGTGTGCGCTAACCATATCGATTTAGACCAGTTTCCTCATCGAAAGGGACTCTACCATGGCACCATTGAAGTCCCAGCACAACTGGCTAAAGTGGCTTGATAGAAATGCGGACTTCGTGTGGATCTTCTCATTTGATTTTAGCAAGGCATTCAATTCTGTGTCTCACAGAATTTTAGTTAGTAAGCTAAGGGATGTGGATATCAATCCATATATACTAAACTGGCTCATCAGTTTCATTAGTAATAGAAAGCAACAGGTTGTGGCAGATAACATCACTACACAGTTTATAGATATAACCAGGGGTGTCCCCAGGGGACGGTGCTAGGTCCAATATTGTTCTCTCTGAGGATAAATGATATAAAGCCATTTAGCCCCTCTAGCCTATTGGTTAAATTTGTGGATGATATCACAGTCAGCATCCCTTTTTGTGCTGAAGATGGCAACATAGCTGAGTCTGAAGTTAGTTCTATTATGGAGTAGGCTGAAAATAATAAAATTTGAATAAAACACTCAATTTGAATAAAACATAGGAAATGTTACTAAAAGTGGTAGCCTGAAAGTTCCACCAGCTCATCTTGCTATTGTGGAGCATAAAACCAAGCTCAAGCTGCTTTGTATTACATTTGAGGATGACCCTGTGAACTGTGACTCATATATTGATCACGTGCTTGGTAAGGCCAGCAGTCGTATGTATATTTTAAGAGTTTGTAGATTTTATGGCTACCCTAAGGAGCAATTAGATCTGCTCTTCCAAAGCCTAATTATTTCAGTCTTCACATACGCTATCGAGGTGTGGGGTTGCTGTTATTATGATAAATATCTTAAGAGAATAGACAAACTGTTTGCAAGGGCTTTTAAGTCTGGATATTGTTTGAAGAAATATAGTATTTGTGACATTTTAGCCACCAGAGATAGCAAACTATGGATCAAGATCACTTCAAATACCACT